ACCTCCTATATCACTATTTCAGGGTCTATTTCAAGCCATAAATGCTCTTTTTCAATCTTCAAACCAAACCTTCTTTGTCTAGAACTATGTAACCATATCGTTGCACCATGTAAAGCTCCTCTTCCGGATCTCCATATAAGAAAGTTATTTTTACATCAATCTGCTCGAAATGTAGATCTCTACTACTAAACTCAGTACAATCATGACAATCGTCATCTTCACCACAAAGGAGAAGATCTCTGTATAATCCACTCCTTACCTCCCTTCACAACAAGTCATGTATTGTAGTGCTTGCTACCATCTGACTCATCTCTTAGTTTGTAGACCCACTTGTTGTGTGATGATACTATCAAATCCCAAGTTTGATTTGACTCTAAAAATTGCATTTCTTCATCTATGACAAGCTCTCACTCACTTGAATCTTCAACTTAAGTGGTATCCTCAAAGTATTGTGGTCAGTTAGTAACAAATATTGTAAAGAAAGAGAATACATGTGTACGGGTCGTATCACTCTATTGTATGCAGGTAACTGAGGAGCTTCCAATGCTCCTTCTGGTTGAGTGTTTTTTCTCCACTCTCTTGATCACCAGTGTCATCTATCTCAACATGTCTAAATTCTTCAGAAGTAGCGACAGATTGTCATGAATTCTGACCCTGTCCTTGTACATCTTCATTTTATTGAAAATGACATCCCTGTTTCGATTAATCTCAGAACTTGTACCCAAATTTATCTAAGTCATAACCAATGAAAGTGCACTTGACAGATTTTGAATCAAGTTTGATCTTGTACTTTGCATCAACATGCACATATGCAGAACTCCCAATCACACATATGCAAAATTCTGACCCTATCCTTGTACATCTTCATTTTATTGAAAATGACATCCTTGTTTCAAATAATCTCAAAAGTTGTACCCAAATTTATCTAAGTCATAACCAATGAAAGTGCACTTGACAGATTTTGAATCAAGTTTGATCCTGTACTTTGCATCAACATGCACATATGCAGAACTCCCAAATACTCTTCAATGAGATAAATATACTTTTTTGTCACTCCTGACTTCTTCAGGTAAGCCTTTTTGTAAGACTACTGATGGACTACGGTTAATCAGATCAAATACAATGTTTACTACTTCAGCTAAAAACTGTTTTGGCAAACCTACATGTAGCCTCCTGCTTATAGCACGCTCCATGATTATTTTGTTCATAAGCTTAACCACATCATTCTGTTGCGATGTCCTTGGGACAATGAACTTCATGTCTAACCTCATATGTAGAATAAAAATTTCTAAACTTCGGATGACGGTACTCGCCCCCATTATCGGATCTGAGACAATTCAGCTTCAAGTTTGTCTCATTTTCTATCATAGTCTTCCATTTCTTAATGATTTCAAATAAATCAAATTTTTATTTTAAGAAATAAACCAACACGTTTCTCGAGTGATCATCAATGAAATCATAAAATAACGAGAGCATACAATGGACTGAACTAAAGTAGGACCTCATATGTCAGTATGCACTAACTCCAGTTTATTTGATGTCACCACTGACCCGCTCTTAGAGAAAGAAACTTTCTTCTGCTTGCCATAAATACAGTTTTCACGGAAATCCAGATCAACTGATTTCAAATCTTAAAGCTTATTTTTAGAAAGTATGGACTCCATACCTTTCTCGCTTATATGGCCAAGTCTATGGTCACAGACCTGTATCCACCCTAGTTCCAACCACATCAATGAAATCAATCATTTCATTGATCAAATAAAGGTTGTCTTCAATGTTCACCCGAGCCATCACTAATGTTCCTCTGGTCACCTTCCACGAATCACATGTAAAAGTAGTCATGAGTTTTGACCTTGTCAGCTGGCTCAAAGAGATGAGATTTCTTTTTAAACTTGAAACAAGTCTAATTTCAGTAAGCTTTCAAACTGTTTAATTCAGAAACATAATATCAACATCACTCTTTATGTTACAGACCATTTTGTCTTCTAAATAATTTTTTTCCTAAATCACTCTGAGTGTAATTTTTAAATACCACCTCTTTATTGGGAAAGCATGAAAATAAACATTTGAATCTACTATTCTAGATTCAATGCTGACTAAGGATAACACCAGGGAGTCCTTTTGAATTTCATCGGTGGAGATATTTGTAGAGAGACTTCATTCCTGTCATCCATCATCAGCTTTCATTGGAGCTTTGCAGTCTTTCTTGAAATGTCATTTCTTACCATAGTTCCAGCATTCACTGTTATTTCCTTTGTCTAATCTGGATTTTTCTTTCCTAGTCTTGAATCTGTCTCTGTCTGTATTCCTGTCCAGAATCATTTCTCTGTAATCAGCATTCAATGCGGAACCTGAAGATTCATCACTCGCTGCTTTTCTGCGAACTTCTTCATTCAACATCAGACCTAAGTCCCTGAAGAATTACTCACCGTCGTTACCAAATCTCAGTTGCTGACAATGAAGATAGTATCACCAGTGGTCTGATCTCATCATCAAACTTGGTCCCCACATACACAATTGGCTCTTCACTGTGTTGAAATTATTGCGACGCTCTGTCATTAAACTATCTTCCACCATCTCTATGTTGAATAACTTCTTTATAAGAAAAATCTTAATAGAAGCAGAAGGTTTTTTCGTACATCTTTGTTAGTGTCACCATGAGATCCACCGTGGTTCTCTCATTTACAATGTTGAACGCAACAAACGAGAAAAGTGACAATTGAATCAAACCCAATGCTATTCGATCCAACACTTTCCATTCCTCCACAAGCATAAGCTCAAGCTTCTTGGTAAATCCTTGTTGTGTTAAGTATAATTTTTTCTGATACAGCAGATCCTCCATCTACATCTTCCAGAAGAGAAGTTCGTCTCATTGAACTTCTCCATTTTGTACCTTGCTTTTTTGGTCATTACTCCCACTCGAATCGAACCTCACTTGGATACCAGTACAATAGAAAAAATGAGAACAATTCCCAACTTTACCGGAGCTTAGAATCAATTAGAAACTAAAACACACCACAAAATAATAGGATCGCGCAAATTCGAGAAAAATTGGAGCAAAATCTAAATGGAAGCACAATCAAAACAAACCAGAAAAGAACATAGGAATTTAACGTAGGAAAACCTCGAGAATGAGAAAAAATCACAGAACCATACCACCAATAGATTCCACTATGAATTCAAAAAGTTTTTGCAAAAAAATTGACACCAGTATTTCCTCTACACGTAAGAAAGCTTACAGGACTCGCTTCAAACCATTCTTGCTCCGACCCGACGCGAAAAACACATGTCAAGATCCCATAATCCTCCTCTCTGACACTTCTCACATTGACCGAGAACTCGTACATGAAGCATTGCACCAAGAGCCAGTTTTAGGACGCTCGAAATTGGTCTTAAAACCAAAAAAATTGTGTCAACTACTTCGAGCACCTAGGCGCCCAGACTTGGCGCATAAGCGTCAAGCTCTCATTCAGTGCTAAAACAAAGTGGGTGCAAAGGTAGCCCCCTCTCTGTTTGTGCCCACACGTGGGCGCTAATGCGCTTGCGCCCCCTCTTCAGTCAGCACTGAAATATTTGATGCTTAAGCGCCCAAAGGGGGCATAAAAACGCCCCCACCAATATGTTTGCTTGCATGTGTTTGGTCTTCTTGATTGTGTGCTAGTGCTTCAAATCAGGCTCCACACCTAACACGGAACGATGGCCAGCCAGCTAAACTAACTGGTAGAGGGGCCAGGCGAACCCGGTCTAAGGAGGTCGGTCCTGATTATTACGAAACCGAGCGAGAGCAGCATTTAGAAGGGGGGCTAGTCCCAATTCCTACAGGGACAAGCAAGAGTGGCACTTTGACGGGGTGGCAATACCGCCAACCCCTTGCTGCCTTCCTTTTCTGTCGTTCTCATTTTCTTTCTTGTTTCCCGCCTGATGGGAGTCTTTTTATATGCTTGTTGCTGCAATTAGGTTTAGGTTTTGTGTGAGTTATTTCAGATTTTGGCAAAAGTCTCTGTTTTCCCTTGCAGGGGTCGGATCTGAGGACAGATGGTACTTCGGTTGTATCCACTCCGAGGTGGTGATGTACATTCTCCAATCTTCCTCCCCACCGCTCCTCCTGAAGCCCTTTTAGCCGTCGGCCATCCCTGTTGTCCCTGCCGCCCCCTTTCCCAGCAGGCTTGTTGTCCACCCCACCAATCGCCAACCAGCACTCTACCGCCTTTCTCCTTGCTCCCTCCGGCCCTCAAACAGCCGACCACACACTTCCCAGCCAAATGTCCACCTATCCCGCCCGCAACCTGCATTCAGGCGCCCCATACCGGCTGATCTCCTTGTTGTCCAATCCACCCCACCATCACCCAGCACCCCGCCACTTCCTTCCAGCAGCCTCCTTACGTTACAATCTTTTCTTCTGATCCCAGTAAAGAACTGTTGTTGTTACGTCTTATTTCAGTTGAGTCGTGCTTTGTAACACTCACTAAGTTGATTAATAAAATTTCTGTTTCCGCTAGCTTTGAATTAGTTTCGGTATCATTCCCTATATACTTAATTAACATATGTTGTTTGAACTTCAAAAAACAGAATTGAAATCAAATTCAAGAATGGCAAGCTAGCAACATATTCCAACACTAAATTATCGATCTTATTTTATATCCATGTTTTACGTGTCATTCTCGAGGCCTTCAAATGCAGCTGCTGCTTCTACTGATTGCTTTTTAAATTGGCCCATACAAAGTATAATCATTAAGCCTAATTTAAAGTTGCTAAAACACAATGAACTCGTATACTAAATAACACAGAGAAAGGCCGCCTCTTAAATAGAACAATCTTGTTAAAACACAAGACAATTTAGAAGATCCATGATTCACTGTAGTATAAACACTTTGTACTTCTAAACAAGCCTGAACTTCTGAAATTATTATGGTAGATTAATTAAACTGGGAATAAAGAGTCGAACATATAAACAAAATAGGAGGTTTTAAAAAATATCCATGACCATGGACCAGAAATACCTCTGTGCCTGAAATACCCATCGCAAGACCGATGTCAGCCTCATGTAAAGCGGGAGCATCATTGGTCCCATCTCCAGTGACTGCAACAACTTCACCCATCTTTCTCAGATTGGTCACTAAAGTATGCTTGTCTAGAGGCAACGATCGAGCCATTACCTGTTAAACAAGTTCACGCAAGTATTAATTAGTTAGCCCGTCTGGCAAAATAAAAATAAGAAAAAAAAATTTGAATAAAACCTGGAGCCTAGGAATTAACTCCTTCAACTCCTCTGGGCTCTTGCTGCGAAATTCAGGTCCTTCTATTGCCAAACCATCATCTGTCAATATTCCACACTCTTTGGCAATGGCTTTAGCTGTATTAATATTGTCTCCGGTTACCATCCGAACTATTATTCCAGCAGTTATACAAGTCTGAACTGCTTCCCTTACCCCAGGACGCACTGGATCTTTTATTCCAAAAACAGCTATCAGTGTATAACCATCAGTGGAAATTTCATCACCTTTTGACACTTCATCCATGTCTTTGTAGGCCAAACAAAGTGTCCTTAAAGCATCATTGGCAAAAATAGTAATGACATCCATTATACTTTTTGTTTGTTTTTCAGATAAAGGTACAGCATTTCCTTCACGATCAAGAATCTTATCACACAACTGCAAAATTATTTCAGATGCGCCTTTGCAGAAAGCACGATATCCTCCTCCTGGACGAGAAACAAGAACAGACATCTTCTTCTTAACAGAATTAAAAGGTTCCACCTTCAATCTCGTGCAATCTCGATGCTGGGTGGTGTCGACGACTCCTTCAAGATCCAAGCCAAACTCCAACAGCGCAGTTTCAGTTGGAGTACCCAAAATGGTGTTTTTTCCATCTTTTCCTCTTACCACTTCTGACCCACTATTTAGGAATATACACTGCAAAAGAATTCCTAATACCTCACCGGACAAAGTGGCCTTCAAATGCTCTGAAGTTTCCTTACCCCTGCATGATTTAGACTCTTCACAAATCCAAATCTTATCAACTACCATGTGATTTGTTGTCAAAGTTCCAGTTTTATCAGTGCAAATGCATCCTGAAGATCCCATCGTCTCACATGCTGATAAATGCCTCACAAGCGCCTTATCATCCATCAGTTTCTTCATCGCAAATGCGAGACTCAATGTCACGGCTAAAGGTAGCCCCTCCGGAACTGCAACGACGATTATGGTGACCGAAATTGCGAAGTAATTTAGTATTAGCAACGCATCATTTGGGAACCATTTTAACAAGCCAACATGAATCGCCTTGTCCACTAGAAATCTGACCACCAACACGACAAAAGTTAGTGTGGCAAATACCAAACCTATCTTTCCAATGATTGTGGCAACACCATTAAGCTTCACCTGCAAAGGTGTTTCGTCCTCACCTCCCTGGCTCAAAGTTTCCATCAGTCTTCCCCATTCAGTTTTCATACCTACTGCTGTAACTAACATTTTAGCAGACCCATCCTGAACTTTAGTTCCAGCTAGTAGGAATGGCTTTTCATTAGAAACTTGCACAGGATCAGCTTCGCCAGACAAGCTTGACTCATCTATTGATAATGAATAGCCAGATATGTAAAGCCCATCAGCTGGGACCTGATCCCCAATAGAAAGATGAACAATGTCTCCAACAACGAGATCGTAGATGGAGACTTTTTGTCTGTAACCATCTCTGGTAACTTGCATGAAAATCTTTTTCTTTTCTCGGTCGAGGTCTCTGAACTGCAGTGATTGTTTGTAGTCGCTGACAGCTGTGACGGAAACTACCAAGAAGATACTAAGGATGATCCCAAGTCCATCATACATCCCCTTTGGCCAACCTTCGGTGGCAAGCCCAACTCCTATGGAAACTACGGCACAGGCCATAAGAATTATTAGGGTCAAATCTTGCAATGCATCCCATACAAACATCCAGAAACTTCTAGCTGGTTTCTCCGGAAATTTATTGGCTCCAAAAACATTCTGTCTTTCAGACAAATCACTTGTCTTAATGCCGTCTTCCAGAGAGACGGACAATTTTCTGGATATCCCATCAACACTTCCATGAAATTTTAAGCTCTTTGAATTGTGCTCTCGTGCAATGGTGGCTAATTCATCAGGGCTAATGTAGAAACCGGCTTTCCTAGCCTCCTCAGGAAGCTTATATTCGATATTATTTGCAGCTGTTGGGCGAGCAAAATCAAATTCCAGTAATCAATTATTTAGTAAGATCCACAATTAATGAGGACAAGTCTAAACAAAGCTTCAATACATATCATACCATCAATAAACGTCAAAGCAGCCTTCTGAACATACAGAGCAACACGAATCTTTTCCTGAGACGAGAGCCCGGTGTGTTAGAAAAGATAGAGAGATTTAATAACTTATTTCAGGATAAACTTCCAGGTCCTGGCCATAATTCTATCTAAAGATATAGCAGCAATAGTAAGCAATATTTTTTATAAAATAAATACAGAGTAAAAATAGTGATAGGAATCAGACTATTTAAACAAGATTGTGATCGAATCTGCGCAGCCACATAGGTTAATTGTAAACATGCAAGGCCATCTTGTCACTCCCTACTAATAGAATAAAGAGCTTTTCTCCTCAGGCGAAGCAACATGAAACTCATGAAATAGAATAATAATAAAAGGGAAGATTGCAGGGTAAAATAGAATGCCTGAGTAAACATTTAAACTTTGATCATTAAAAGAAAAAAAAAAGCCAGTCTCAAAATGTTAAAGTTGTCTACACAATATCTCAAAATATAGAAGCACCTTTGACATTGAAGTCATTCACACAATTCAATATCAAGCATTATTACGAAGAAAAAAGCAGATGGGAAATCTCTAATGTGCGTTAACTTTGACAACAAAGGCTTGATAATTTGGTTGACACAGTTGTAGATTTCTCCGTGCTAAGATTCCTAAATGTATTCTTTGGATACCACCAAATTACGATGAATTAAGAAAATAAGGTTAAAATAAGCTTAATCACTGATGAGACGCCTCTAATTATCAGATCATGTTTTTCAAATTGAAGAATGTTGGAGCAGCATACCAAAGACTGATCAAAAGTATGTTTATAACACAAAAAGATGTAATCCTGAGGTCCATTTTGATGACTTCCTACTTAAAAACAAAGAACCTCAAGGGTACTTGGTTGAGCTCTCTAAGATGTTTTTAACATAAAGGAGATATAATATAATCTCAATCCTTCCAGGTGTATTTTTCTCACATACTCAAAGAAGTTTCTTAGCTGTAGGATTTCTCCCAATGGGACCAAAGTCAATCATAATGAGTTGACATGATTATGGGGACATTGTCTTCTCACCCAATCAAAGATGACAGGAAACCAAAAAGAAAACCTGTTGTTTTGAGCCAATTCATCTCTCAATCAAATAGAGTAATGCTCTACAATTCAAAGTAGAAATAGTGAGAACTTAAAGTAACCAGAGGTAAGAGAACAATCTAAAAGCAAAAATTGCGCATGATGATTTTTCCTATTCTCTTTAGTCCTGGAATAGAGTAATCTTTACATATCTACCTAGAAGCCCGTGACTACGTATTTAGTTCAATATCAGTTCAACAAGAAAATTGAAAATAATTTCCTATATATTCAACAAGAAAACTAAAATAAATAATTGGATATTTTTAATTGACCCCCTTTTGTCGGCTCAAACTTTTTAATTCACCAATGTTTAGCACAGGATTCTCTATTCAAAACCACTTATGAAACATATCAAGAAACCATGCCCTAAATTTAACCAATCAACCCTTCATACACGTTTCTTTACTGTTTGGGTAAACATTAAAATATATATGAAACTAGATGTTAAAATTGACAATGGAGGAACTGTTTTGTTCCAAATATAGATGTGCAAATCAACTCAAAATTTATAGATTATATAAGGATCAAATTAAATGCCCTTTATTTTACAAAATTGTTAAAGAGGTGGCTTTTTTTTTTATTCTGTTCTTTTTTTTAATCTTGATGTAAAGTAGATATAACTATTCTACATGCATACATTTAAATTAGCACCTATTTGGAGAAAAACAAACAACACCAGAAAATTAAAGAAGAAAAATGCTTTTTAGATGATTATGGCATGGCAAGCCAATTCCCAATCTAACAAGCAACTTTAGCCCAGTAACATTGCAAATGATATAACACACCCGATTCTACTCTATGGATGATGTTGGATGAGCGTAAAAAAAATGAAAAAAAAATACTGAAGTAGAAACCATGCTATATCTACAGCACAACCCATCAGCTGTCCATTATACACAGTATGAATCATCCTCTTTTGTACAGTTTCTAGAAAATTTTGGGATGTGACAAAAAATTAGATCAATATTATGCTATGGCTTTTAGGACTCTCACAAGTAGATGTGGGTAATTGCTAAGTTTACATTTAGCTTAATCCAATTTTTTATATTTGTTTGAGGACTGAAGCAATACATAAAAATAAATTCAAATTTCACAGAAAGAAATATTGATTGAATATGAAAGATGTCAATATTCTCACCTTCAAAATTCACAAATCAAAGTATTAAGTTAGTCAAATCGTCTAATCCTTGGAACACATAAAGGTCTTACAAATGTGAGATTATAGTCTTGCCCATTTAAGTATGTGAGCATTAGCAATTCGGCATCTTGTAAAAGACAATACAAAAGTTTATTGTGCAAGAACGTCGTACTTGCCTGAGAATTTCCGCCTACTAAGAATTTAAGACATCTAGAAAACAAAAGAACATCGTGAAATATTTCAAACATTCATATTGGGAGTTTCACTAACGTAATTGTAGAGCATCAGAAGTGAAAACCTGTGATCGACAATTCAAGAAGTAGATTGTCTATCCACAAACACGAGACGCCGCTAGAAACAAGACGACACAAGAAAAACCTGCAGGAAATAAAGCATACCACAAACCCCACGTAATAAACGCCCCTCAAACCTCCTCATGCACGTGATTAAGGGACTAGCGAGCCCCACCCTAAGGCTGGATTTCTCCCATGTAGAATCATATTTTTCCGCCCCTGGTTGTTGTGCCGGCCAGCCAGCTTAGTTGGGCCGGTTGAGGCTGGCCAGTCCAGACAGGCGCAACTTTGGCCGGCATAACAACCCCCTCTAAAAAATATTTTTTTCTAAACATAATGTCACGGCGTCGAGACTAATGGCGCCCCATCATCGAGATTAGCAACACTCAAAAACATAGCGTTGACGCACCCAATCCGAAACCCGAGAGCATGACACTGCAGAGCCTTAAATTCGGCGCCTATTAGATCACCACAACGTTTTAGCACCCGTAACCGATTTTTATGCAATTTTTTATTTATTGTGTCAGTTTTGTCGAATGAAAGTAATATTGGATTTTGAATTCTGTTTTTAAATGAGAGGAGAGGAACGTCTTGGAATGTTCTAAAGTGTGAATAAACTTGAGTATCGTGTACGTTTTTGTTCAAATTTTGCTTCCAATCTCTCGAATGGGTTTCTACAAAGTTCACATCATCCCACAACATACCAGTTCTCCCCACGGCAATCATCTATTGTTCCTGACTAGTCTTCGAATACAAACCATACTCATCTACTACATAGTTAGCTATACCAAGTTCAAAGTAGGTTTTCATTCGTCATTACATTTTGGAATTAATTGAACTAACCGTAAATAAGTGATAAGACACATACACATACACATACACATAAAAAGGTCACATCCAGAATCTTGTGTGTAATATGAAATCTTGAGCTGAAATCCTATCAAATCAAAGTCCATATATAATTTCTCCAAGATTCCCCTCAACTCATCCTCTTTCTCTTTCTCTGATTTGTCATTGTTGGCTAATCCAACTTGTTGTTTTTTTTTTTGTAAAGATGGTTCAGCTAGGACTTCTGTAAATCAATTTATCAAGTTAATCATCGAGAAAAAATCTCCCTCTCATGTATTTTGCTCTTTGAACTTAGGTCATATGCATAGCAAGGAGTAAAGCGTCAAAATAGTCCCCAACTATTTACATGGGGTTGTTTAAGTCCTTAAGGTTATAGAAGTGTCAAAATAGTCCCAATATTATTTAAATTTGGGCTGAAATAGTCCATATGGAGGACTATTAGAGCTTAATTTTAAAATAAATAGGGACTATTTTGATGCATCTGTAAGCTCTAGGACTAAAATACATCGAGTAAAATGTTTGGGACTAAATTTTGGGACTAAAACAACATTGTGTAGATGACTGGGGACTATTTTGACAATTTTATAAACTTTGGGACAAAACCTGCCCTCTATAAATAGTCCCTCTATAAATAGTCGAGGACTATTTTGACACTTTACTCATTAAGTTTTTGACATATTTTCACGAATAAGATTGATCCAATAATCTCAACGGAGAGAGAAAAACATTTATAATCACTTTCGGCTCCATAATATTGCTCATATTAATTCATCAAACAATTTTAGCCAAGCGGGGAATTCTCGACCACGGGCCTAAGATCGCACGGTGCAAAAGCGTTTAGATCTTGACCGAGAGAAATTTATTGTTTTTATTGACTTTGTCGCCCGCGATCACATCCATTTGTAGTTGTTTTATTTTTACATTACAACTGCTCGTGGCACCGTCGATCAGCTAATCAAGTCAGAATGGACTCCGTGAGGGCGAAGGCATCTATTCCGCGTTCCGCACAATTCAAAAACACAGAATCATATCCTAAAAGTAACGGCGTTGACAGAAACATCCCATTCACATCACTGCGATGCGCTTTCACAATGGGCATCGTCCGCCATTAATCAATCCATGCTAGGGTTTCAACTAAGAGAATCCCGAAAAAAAAAAAAAAAAAAAAAAACAAGATCCGACAAAAGTCAGATCCGACAAGAGCAGCGCAAGAAGAAACGGAGAAAAACGACCTGGATGCTGCGGCGTCGAGCCTCAGCCTCCGATCTTTTATCAAGATCGGCAACCATCCGAAACCTCCTCCTGCGATTCAGAACGATCTGTCCTACAGCACTTCGCCATCTCCGCTGCACCTCCTCCGACGGATTCTTCGCCGGCAAATCGAAGTTCTCCTTCAGAAACCTCTCCATCTTCTCCCTACCCTAAACCGCTCGCGAATCTAAGCTCTCTCGATCAACCGCAAATCACCTCATGGGGAGCAAACCTTCGCCGGAGAAAGGGGGGGAGCAGAGAGGTCAGCTCGGCGAGACCCACTTTCAGGCGAATTCAATGCAGTTTATAATTTTATTTATTGCTTTTCGGTCTGATTACCGTCCAGTGAGCTCACCTCTTCTAAGTATTTTCTCTTGGGCCGGAGCTGACGTGGGCCCATCAAAATCTTGTTTGGCCCGTTGGATTGAAAATTTCGATTTGCGACAAATTTCCCCATCGTTTATTTCGGACGCTACTCACGAAGTATGTTTTGGAATTTATCGAAGAATATGAACGTAAAATAAAATGAAAATTCCGCTGATTTGTGGAGGGCATTTGGGGGAATTTCCCCTAATTGGGTAAGTAGTGGTCTTTTCATTAACTCATTATAGCTGTGACCATATATATAAGCTGCGTTCTGAAGTTGAAAGCTACACGAGCTATGAATTATGTATGACATAGTGAGTTGTGATAATGTTCATAGATCACAGGAGCCGGAGTCGGGAGCTGCACGAGTAATGAACTGCATAGGTCATATTTGGTCATATAAGTTGCAATGGCAAGTTGTGAAGAAATCTATAAATCTTGGGGGTCGTAGTCTGCTGCAGGAGCTTTGAGCCACTTAGGTCGTAGTTGGCCAGTGGTGGTGGTGGCTTGAAGCAACACTGGCCTGAAAGCGACGAATACGAAGGCTGAAAGAGGCGAGGATAAAGGCAGTAGATGGAAAAGACGACGAAATGAGGAGGCGAATGCGAGGTAGCCCGAGGCGGCGGTAAAGGCAACCTAAGGCGGCAGCAGAGGCTAGAAGAGGAGGCAGTCTGATGCGACGATGGCTGGAAGCGGCAGCAGCCTGAGGCGACGGTGATCCAAAAAAACAATGGCGGGCGAAGATGGAGGTGAAAGCGCCGCCCGGAGGCAGCAATGGCTGGTGGAAGAGGCAACAACCGAAGGCAATGGTGGCGGAAAGCTGTAGCGGCTATTGTGACTTGAGATTAAGGAGGCGACGGCCAGAGGATGACAATAACGGCTTGAGACGGCGATGGCGACCAGATATGGTGACTATCAAAAGGCAACTACGTCAGGAAGGCAATGACGATCGGAAGGTGGAGGCAAAGCTCAGAGGGCTGGCGTGAGATGGCATTAGTGGCGGTTTTCTGGAAATGCAGTGGTGACCAACGATGGTGGTTAAGGGGCTCAGAAGTGGCAGCGGTGGTCGAAAGAGGCAACAACCTGAGACGGCATTGAAGGCAACTCGATCCAGCGACAGCGACCAGAAGGCAATGGCGGCAGCGACGACGTTGGTCTGTGATGACGGTGACGGCCAGAAGACAACGACGTCCTAAGATATCAACAATCAAAAGGCAGTGGTGGTCGAAATGCGACGGTGGCCTGAGACAGTGACAACATCTTGAAGGCAGCGACGATTAAAAGGCGACGATGGCAACGATGGCGGTGACGGCGGCGGCCAGAGCGTTGCAGGGGCCAGAGGTTGGCGACAGTTTGAGACTGCGATCCAAAAGGTCGGGCTGCCGCTCCCTCTTGTACATGCTTTGTTCTCTTTTTGGATCTAGGTCTAGGTCCTCCTTCATGAGGGGTTTGAAATTCTATTTATAAAGTCCAAATTGAAAATCAGGAAGAAATACAATCACTCTTAGTCGGACAGTCTGGAGAGCTTCCCTTGATCAGACAACATTTGATGTTCATTTGATAGACTTAATGATGTCAGAATTGAGAGCAATGTTGGGCTCGTTGGATTATTTACACCGAGATTACCAATTTGACTAGAATCATGTCATATTCTATATCCATTTGACTTTCTAATTATGTACAAAAATTTTCTAAAAGTAGTTAAATGACTTGATCTGGGCTTGATTCAATCTGGATTGTGTCAATTTTTGTACTTTTGGGTCAGTCTCGTTGAGCCATAAGTTTGTTGAAATTAGAATGTTAGACGACTTTTAATTAAAATTTGAATGTTTCTTATTCAAATATTTACCGTTAGATCCGTGTCATGTCTCAAGATTCTTGCTAAATATTTGAAATTAGTTGGTGATGTATCAAGTAAATGTAATATTTATTCTAGAAATGAAACTCTATTTATAGAGATAGGGGATGTACAATTACATTGCGTATCGATGGGGGTATTTTGGTCAATACAAAAATATAGGGGCGGGAGCCTGGAAAGGCGCCAGACTAGATGGAGTCGGGACCTCAAGATGGTGTCCGTTCAGATAGGTTCGAAAGCCTATAACTGATCATTTTTTTGAGGTTGGGCAGTTATTCGTTGGGGACCCGAAGAAACTATTGATTAGGCTATCTCTTGAGGGCTTATCCTTAAAAGGAAGGGTCAGACAACTCCACTCAATTGCTACGTACCTGAATGATTTGGCTCGATCACCTGACCTGGGCAGAGAAAAAAACTGTCAAACTCGTCCGCGTTAGTCTTATGCTCGTGGACTCTTAGAAGAATGATCAAATTATGTTCGCCTGGAGATTATCTTCCTTCCGGACTATAAGAGGTTGCTGACAGGAGATGAGATTTTGGATCGTCCATGGCTTGTATAAAAATACCACGTCATCTCTTCTTCTAGTTGTCAGATTTCTTTAAGATTTATGCTAACACATTATTTATGCTAACACATTACTGATGTATAAATGTGGTATGTATGTGTAAAATACTCAGGGTATGTGTGTAAATGCATTAATTTAATAAAGATACATGATGTGAAAATTTAAATCAAAATATTCTCCTTTAAATTTTTTTTTTTCCACCGAGGCACAAATAAACACTAGTGATGGCCGCATAAATTCCCTCAACATAAGTCAAAAGAGTTAAATAAACATAATTATTTATTTATTTGGTCTATTTACATACATACCACCTAATTCTATGTATTTACATATCTAACACCTAAACTTAACTTTTTTTTACATTTATACCGCACGTATCTTAGCTTACTGCCATGTATGTAAATATATAATAATTGAGGGGTATGCCTGTAAATCTTCAAGAAAAAAAATCAAGTCTAATTTAACCAAAAAATATTACTTCAGGACTCCGCACTTAAATTACGCCTTGGAGGCGATCGGCTCAGTAACACAAGAGAATATTCCCCTCGTGTTATTCGGATATTATTGTGTGTTATTCATGTGTTATTATGTGTTATTAAAGTATTATTTATGTGTTATTGTGTTATTACAACACCGAAAATATTCTCAAAACACAATAACACTTGAATAACGCGAAATAACACGGGAGGAATATTCCCCATGCGCTAAAATGATTTTTTTAGAGGGGAATATTCAGTGTTAATGTGTTATTCAAATATTATTGATATGTTATTGTGTTAATAACAAGAGGGGAATATTCGGTGTTAATGTGTTTTTCAAATATTATTGATATGTTATTGTGTTATTATAACATCGGGGATATTCTCAGAACACAATAACACCTGAATAACATACAATAACACATGAATAACACAGAATAACACGAGGGGGGGTTGATCACCTCCACGACATAATTTCATTGGACTCCGCAAGCTGATCACCTCCACGGCATAATTTCATTGGACTCCGCACTTGATGTAATATTTTTTTACTGTTTAAGAACTATTAATTTATTAATTCCACCTTCCATGAAAAACAAGACCTCTAACAATATATATTACTAAAAAAAATGTTAATATTTAGTAAATAATATGACAATTATTTTGGTCTGTAGGAAAAGTTAAAGTGGGCGATAGGATTGATAAGTAATAACACAATATCTAATTGCAAATCATAATTATAATTTTGTAATTTTGTAATTAATTTATGAGTATTATTTAGTTTAATTCTGCAATTAATTTATGAATGTATAAATAGAAAATTGATGAGGGGGTCATAATAAATTATTAATAAAGTTAATTTCATTGGCTAAACTAATTTTAATAAGATAATAAATTATTAAAATGAAATAATTTTAAAATTTATAAATTAAAAAATCATGTTAATTATAGAACAATAAATGATACTTTTATAAAGTTTGAGGATGGTGTGATGTTGAAGGAAACATGCACACTAAGTTTGGTTTAAAAATTACATTTTTATTTTTGGTTTTCAACACCTTAATAATTGATTTTCGTTTATTGGTTCGGTTATAATTAATTTAACCGAACGAATCGAAAAATCAAAATTTTGAAACTAGATGAAAATTTCGTGAGGTTGAAACAATAGTATATATGTTGAATCAGAACTTGTCTCGTGGGTCACACCAAAGGAATAAAACGTAGGACGAGAAAGAGAAACAGAGAGGAGGAAAAAGAGTATGCTAACGAGCAATAGTGAACAAAAACTTAGAGCGAGTATATTGATCTTTCCCGATTTGTTTAGCTAAGATTGTGCAACCCTTTGTTCTCATAAGGATCTCCTATTTATAGACATAAGAGACGTGGTTCACAGAATTACATGGTTAACCCTACTTTAGTAGGGACTGTACAAGGCCCTATAGACATTTTGCCTTGATGGGGCCCAAAGGTCATTCGGGGTCCACAACCCCTGTTAATTGGATGACTGGGATGAGGTGGCAGGTCATGCCAGCCGACTGTTCAAGTGGGTCGATCCGGTCGGTTTACAGAGCAGGTGTAATCGTTCGGCTATTCTTTTGGAGTCAGGGAGACAGTGTTGATTCGCCCGTCATGAAAATTGCCCGATGAGTGTTTATATTGCAGATCAACTCGAGCTCCAAGAGGTTCTTAGCTGCTTCAGCTACTCAACCTATGCCCAGAGGTTCTTAGCTGATTCAGCTGAAGCACCAACTATTTGCATGCATATCACAAAAGCTGATCACACCAAAATGCTACAACTGTAAATATGAAAGTTTTAAAGTGGTAGATGTGTAAATACATAAGAATTGTGTAGTATAAGGGATTTGATAGTTGACTAGAGAGCTCATATTGATAAGCAGGCTGGTAAAAGCAGTTATGTGGAAGGTTTGAAAATGGGAGCAACACATCTATTGTTTTCCAAACAAGTACCAATAAGTTTGACAACCATATTACATTACATGGAAAAATAATGCCTTCTGAGTTAGGTGTATTCTAAAGCATAAATGGACACCAAATTGATTAAAATTTTACAAAAATAGCCAAAAGTTGGCAGGTAATGTCAATCAATGATGAATATGTGATTTCACATTAGCCTCAATTCAAAGGCATTCATTATGAAAATAGAGTGGGTATGATTATGTTCGCTAGGGATGAATTGATCGAATCATGATAACTATACGAACGCAAATTGAACAAGTTGTTGGGGCTCATTTGACGGGACTTTACCTTTGAGAAAAATTTGTCTAAAGACAATTTCCGAAAGAGCTCCGTTTTAAAGTTATAACCGGTAAAACAAGATATTTGTTTGAATACAAAGGAAATAGGGAAAAAGCAAGAAAATCACAGCAACACGAGCAAATGCTAAACGTTGGTGCGAAAGTTGAGAAAATATTATGTGCGGGTGAGATGGGCGTGAATTATGTGCAGATTAGTAGTATTTTGGTGATATTATGGTAGTATTGTACTGCAATAAAACCACAATATCACCAAAATATCATTCGCATAGTACATGCGGTAGTACTCTGAAGGTATTTGTGATGTTATTATACCGCAATACCACCATAATATTACTGAAATATCACCATAATACACCAATCCACATTTACAACATCCTGACGCAATATTTTCTCCCGAAAATGATGGCGTCATCATGTTTGGCATTTGGCCAAAGACGACGTTGCAGTGGAAACAAAGTTTGGCAAAGGTACTCATCCAAATGAGAATTCTCCATTTTCTCTGCTTGTTGTACATCGCAAAGGAGTCTGAGATGCTCCGTCAAACGAGGCCTTAGTCGTGAAGCTTCTTAAGAGTCACCCAAAGACAATTCAATCAAGTTGTTTTCCATAAGAGATCGGCTATTCTTACAAGGCTGACCAAGGATTCTAGTCTATCCATGATATATATATATATACATACATACCACCTAATTCCTATGTATTTACATATCTAATACCTATTTTGCTTTTTTACATTTATACCAACCAAATCTTTCTTATCACATTCAAAATACCACGATTTTGACTCTTAAAAAGTGATATACCCCTTTTCATGATGCAAAAATTGAAGTTTACGTGTCAGACATGCAAATACATAGGAATTGAGTGGTATGCATGTAAATATTCCAATTGAATTAAAATATAATATAAGAGACAGTTAATGTAACTTTAACATCAAGGGAACCTTAGCAACAAGAATTCAAGCATGAATCAAGTGTTTGATGCTCACAAGTGCAGGGACAGTCAAGAAAACTAGAACATATGTAACAGAATGATACAGATGAATACAGTAAATTCAAATAAATCTGATAAATATAGGAAAATAAAAATAACAAGGAGCATTTACATACATACCACCTAATTCCTATGCATTTATATATCTAACACCTAAGCTTTGTTTTTTTATATTTATACTGCCCAAATCTGTCATATCTAACAACAAATGCTACTATTTTAACTTTTAAAAAGTGAAATGCACACTTTCATGCAGAGCTAAGTGGCGCATAAGTCAAAAAATTGAAGTTTGGGTGTTTGGTACGTAAATACAGAGAAATTAGTGGTATGTATGTAAATCATCCAGATAAGGAATGGCTTACAGGATTACAGCAACCTGCACTGACTTTCCAATGTAAATTATCCCTTTCCACAGGGCTTCATTAATGAATGTAACAGCCATTGAGATTTCCTTGCAGAAAAAAAATTTTGCATGGGAGAGTCAACATGAGAAGAAACATATTTTATAAGTTTCTGCCTCCCCCCCTTACAATATAAATTATTTATCAAAAAAAAAAAAAAAAAAAATTACTAAAATTTAACACTAGTTAAAAATTTACTTGAAATTACATTGCATCCAGCAAAATCCTTCTGTCCAGTTTTGTCAAATTTGCTCCCCAAGGATTTTGGGGCATTTTCATACATACTATCCAATTCCTGTGTATTTACATATCTAAAACCAAAACTTGGTTTTTTTAGATTTTTGTCAATCAAATCTTTTATATCACATCAAAAATATTATAATTGTAACTTTTTAAAAGTGAAATGCAACTTTCATATATAGGTAAAGTGTAATATATGAAAAGATTGAAGTTTAGGTGTTACTATTATGCCTGAAATGCTGTGAAGCATTGATAACCACGCAATTATACGTGGCTATTTTGATAATACGGATTTGAGTCTGTGTATTGATCCCACAAGAAGCTTACTAAATTTTCTAACATATTTAAGTTTCGGTTTACTAAACCCCTAAGTCTAGCTTGAAAAGTTCAATGATTTGAAGGTGTCTAAGTCCTAATATTCATACTCTTGTGAATCAAGTTGTGCGAATCCTCAATATTCTTCCTATAAATATGAATTTCCACACTTATAGTTGAAAACCAGAGATAAATCCTCTTAGCCTCTGTCGATCTCATAAAGAGCATTGGAAACTCTTATTACAATTAAAGGGACTTAACCATGCAAAGTTTTACAAAAATCCTCTAGTTTCCTACTATTTAGGTTGCAATCTCCTACTAACAATATGTCTATTCCGCTAGGTGACTGTGTTATCACACTTGTTCTTCTAGTCAACAATCAGAGGTCCTAAATCACAAGGACTTTTAACATTTTGATTGGTCAGGTTGAAAATAAAGAAAAATAAAAAAGATAACTTATCTACTTTTTGCAAATTCTTAACTAGTTGAGAAAAAAATGTCATGGAGAGAATATGGTTCATCACATATCCAACCCACACGAGAATGAAAAATACTTGGCTACTGAATATGTTAAGAGAAAAACAAATAGATTTCATTGAAACAGAAAAGTAGAAAGAGTTTACACAGGAACAATCTCACCATGAAGAGAAATTTCTTCACTCCATTGAAGATTTTCTCTTGTACAATGATCTCAACTCTCTTCTTCTCTCTTACACACACTCAATGGACTAAGCACAAACACTTCCTCACAAGAAATACACTCCCTGGCTCACTCCCCTTTCAAAGCCTCACTCACTCTCTCGCTCGCAATGACTCTCTCACTCGCAATGACTCTCTCACTCTGTTGCTCGCAGTGACAGAGTCTTTTCCTTGGAGTTTTTTGCTTTCTCCTCCCTTCTCCGGATGTGTTTCTTCATGAAAATCCTAACTTGCCCATCCAAAAAATCCCCTCTGCTTTGTATCTGCTAATTTAACTCCTCGGATGTGAAACAACAAGAAGCAATTGTCAAAACATGGATTCGGCCGCCTAGACGCTCATAATTAGCGCCTGTGCATCTGGGGCTCTGTCTTCAGACGCCTAGGGACCCAAGACAGGCAAAGGAGAGCCCAAGCTGGGAAAGTGCCTGCTCGAGCAGCCCTTAGATACATAAATACATAATAATTGATTGATAAGTATGTGAATCTTCCTAACATCTTTTTTATCAGCACTTCCTACCGCACTTCTGCCTTACATTTTGTGAAATATATTAATAGTAGACATGCTTGCTTCAAGAATTTTATCAAAAAGTCATCATGCCATAGTGCCATATATGCCTAGACGCTCATAATTAGCGCCTGTGCATCTGGGGCTCTGTCTTCAGACGCCTAGGGACCCAAGACAGGCAAAGGAGAGCCCAAACTGGGAAAGTGCCTGCTCGAGCAGCCCTTAGATACATAAATACATAATAATTGATTGATAAGTATGTGAATCTTCCTAACATCTTTTTTATCAGCACTTCCTACCGCACTTCTGCCTTACATTTTGTGAAATATATTAATAGTAGACATGCTTGCTTCAAGAATTTTATCAAAAAGTCATCATGCCATAGTGCAATTATATAATAATAATAATCTACTGGGGAAAGAAAAAAAACACATATTACAAACTTCAAAAAATATAATATAATGCTATGAAATAGTTGGAAACTTTTACAAAAAAAATAACTGGGAACCAGATAGAATGGGTCATCAGTTAGATACATAAATACATAAGAATTGATTGATAAGTATGTGAATCTTCCTAACATCTTTTTTATCAGCACTTCCTACCGCACTTCTGCCTACATTTTGTGAAATATATTAATAGTAGACATGCTTGCTTCAAGAATTTTATCAAAAAGTCATCATGCCATAGTGCAATTATATAATAATAATAATCTACTGGGGAAAGAAAAAAAACACATATTACAAACTTCAAAAAATATAATATAATGCTATGAAATAGTTGGAAACTTTTACAAAAAAAATAACTGGGAACCAGATAGAATGGGTTAATCCCCCCAAAAAAAGTTTATTTTCTTCATCAAAATTTATGAAAGCTCGGTGTTCCCTTTGAAATCAATGGGCATAGAACAGAAGATCAACATTTTGTCTTTACTTGAAAACGATTTTCATATTGACATGAGGGGAAGAAGAGGGCGACATGAAACACCTATTAATTATAGCCTCATATCAAAATGTTGTATTAATTAGCCCAAGATAAAAATAAGAAGAAAAAACCAACATTCCCAATATTGCTTTCTTTACAAATTTAGTCTCATTATTCTTTGGCCAGCTAAAAAGTTTTCCATATGATGCTAAGAATTGATGTGGACTTAATATGACAATGCTCACTTTTAAAGCTTTTTAAATGTTATGATAAGAAACCAAGCCACGAACCAACAGAAGACCATATGATAAGGTTAAAAATAAGGGTCTGTTTGGCGCAGCTGTGGATTATTTATAATCTGCTGATAAGCAGATTATTCTGATAATCTGATAATCTGCAGATTATCAGAATAATCTGGCTTGCTGTTTGGGGCAGCTTATTCAGACCAACTTATTGGTGGTTAAATGACATTCATGCCCCTGTTTGAATCAAAACTGTTTGGGGCAGCTTATTCAGAATAGCTTATTGTTGGAAAAGAAACATATAGTGCAGAAACATACGATAATCACAGATTTTTTCTAAAAGATACCATACAGTTCTCACACCTTAATGAGTACCAGGATAACTAAAAAAAGTACAAATACAAGTACAACAACAAGGAGAAATATTAAAATATTCAACTTAAGACTCTGGCTACGCCTGTCCTCATCTGCACTGTCAGCCGGAAAAAACATCGGATTCACATGACTGCTGGCATGACTACTGTCAGTGTAATATGATGGACTATCGGCCCACCTGAAGAAACCACAACGGGCTGAAACACCCCTGGCACAACCATAGAACTGCCTCCCAAAGCTATGCTCCTTACGTGACGTTAGCAACGGAGAGCTCCACCGGAAAAGACTTTTAGCAGACTCAACTCTATTGTCAT